CTTAAACTATACTACAGAGCAATAGTAACAAAAACAGCATGGTATTGGCACAAAAACAGACTGGTAGACCAATGGTACAGAATAGAGGACACAGAGACTAATCCACAAAATTACAATTATCTTGTATTAGACAAAAGTGCCAAAAACATGCACTGGAGAAAAGATAGCATCTTTAAAAATGGTGTTGGGAAAACTGGAAATTCATATGCAACAAAATGAAATTAAACTTATATCTCTCACCAGGCACAAAATTCAACTCAAAATGGACCAAGAACCTAGGAATTAAACCAGAGACTCTCTGTCTAATAGAAGAAAAAGTAGGCCCTAATCTTCATCATGTGGGATTAGGCCTCGACTTCCTTAATAAGACTCCTATAGTGCAAGAATTAAAACCAAGAATCAATAAATGGGATTCAAACTAAAAAAATTCTTCTCAGTAAAAGAAACAATCTGTGAAGTGAACAGAGAGCCTACATCTTGGGAGCAAATTTTTACCCCTTACACATCAGATAGAGCACTAATCTCTAGGGTATACAAAGAACTCATTTGACCCAGCTATCCCTCTCCTCAGACTATACCCAAAGGACTTAAAAACAGTATATTTATAGGGACACAGCCACATCAATGTCTATAGCAGCACAATTCACAATAGCTAAACTATGGAGCCAACCTAGATGCCCTTCAGTGGATGAATGGATAAAAAAAAAATGTGGCATATATACACAATGGAATTTTACTTAGCAATAAAAGAGAATAAAATCATGGCATTTGCAGGTAAATGGATGGCGCTGGAGAAGATAATGTTAAGAGAAGTTAGCCAATATCCCCCAAAACAAATGCTGAATGTTTTCTCTGATATAAGGAGGATAACTCATAGTGGGGTAGGGAGGGGGAACATGGGAGAAATAAATGAATTCTAGATAGGGAAGAAGGGAGGGAGGGACAGGGAGGAGGCAGAGGATTAGCAAGGATGGTGGAATGTGATGGACTCATTATCCAAATGTATGAAGACATGAACTGGATATCAACCTATTTTATATACAAACAGAGATATGAAAAATTGTGGTATATATGTGTAATAAGAATTGTAATGCAAAAAACATAAAGTACATGCATAAAGACATGAATTGGTATGAACATACTTTATATACAAAGATATGAGAAATTGTGCTCTATATGTTAATAAGAATTGTAATGCATTCCACTGTCCTGTGTTTAAAAAAATAAAATCAATTAAACAAACAAACAAAAACAGAGATCCTGAGGCCATAGCACCAGCAATTCTGAGGCAGTCAAGAGTGTAGCCTAGGCAGTAGGACATTTCAAAGCTTTGTAAATGCTTCTCAGCAAACAGGGCTGAGAATCACCTTAGCACCATGAGCCCCATTCTGGCTGTAGGGTACTCAGCTCATCACCCACACTGTGGCTTAAACACAGGCTAACTGGCATGGCCCTAGACCCTAGACAGAGATGAGAATGGCTTCAAGAACCCTTTGACAGAGACAACTGACTGGATTGGAGGACAAAGGTGATGGAGGAGTCAAATTATGATTTAAAGGTTTTCTAGTTTGGTTGGTTAGGTGATGGTGACCTCCCAACCAAGACAGGAAATATGGTAGAACAAGGTTCGTAAGAAAAGATCAATTTGGAACACTTTGGTGCTGAGATTTCTTTGGGGCATTCAAGTGGTGACATGACAGCAAGTTTACATAGCTGAGGGCCTGTGCAATCAAGTAAGTCACATATCAGATGCCATGAAGTACAGAAGAGGCCACAACAGGCATAGGTCTGGATGAACTCATCCGGGAATCAACATTTGGAAAGAATGAGTCAAAAAAGAGCCAAGAACAAAATATGGGAAGTGATATTATTCAAAGAATGGATGGAAGGAGAGAATTCAGCAAATGAGGTAGAAGGGGAAAATGGCAGAGATGTTATAACAGAAACAGATGAACATGTCCATGGGGTCATGGAGGCTCCAAGAGGAAAGGGCCACATCTCAGTTTAGGAATGAAGATTTCTGATGGGTAGGAGGTCTTTGATGACTTGGCGAGGGCAATTTCAGAAAAAAGTATTGTTGGAAGAAGGATAACAGTTAAAGCATCCCAACCTCGGCACAACTGAAGTATACAGTATGTGTGTTTGAACACGTGCACATGCTGTCATACACACGTATATACACAGTGAACTCATAGGGCACTATGGGAGGACACATAGAATCTAAATAGTTAAGTTGTCCTTGTCTCCTTCTAACAATTATTTCATATCTGGGTAGTGTTTAAAGTTCATTCACATTTGTGCTCCACCAATTCAATAGCTGCAACACATGAAAATAACACAGAAAATGTGGAGTTAAGCCAAAGAGTGCAGGTTGGTTTTTAGAGTTGGAAGTGCATAGTGCCATTCCTGCATGGGGTATGGAATGGCACAAAATAGGATGCAAAGGACTGAAAGTATTAGATATTGAGGGCAAAACTACCATACCCAAAGGTTCACAGTTGGACGCTCTAGCATGAATGGTCTATGTAATGAGGTGGCCTGCCTTAAGAAGGTGAAATCCTGTGTCCATGTCTATCTAGGCACTGCCCTTCATCCCCACTGTGTCCCCCACCTACCTTGGGCTTCTTTCTATCCCAGGTGGGTACCCTAAAACACAGGGAGTTACCTGATGAGGAGAAGTCTGTCCTTTTCAGATGGATGGTCATCCAGCCACTGGGAGAAGCGTGCATGGGACCATTCTGCCCTCTGCAGGATCAAAACACAATTAGAGAAGAGTATGAATACATTCTTCAGCAAATGGTAGTAAATGCCGGTTCAAAAATCACTCTTAGGGGCTGGACTTATAGCTCAATGACAGTGTGCTTGCCTAGCATGTGTGAGGCACAGGGTTCAATCCTCAGCACCACATAAAAATAAATAAAGGTATTGTGTCCATCTATAACTTTAAAAAATCAAAAATTAAAACAATAAATAAATAAATAAAGCACTCTTGGGGATTTTCAAGGTGAAATTCCCTCACACATCTGCCTGATGGAAGCTTGTAAAAGGTGGCACAGGCTTTAGGCACCTTCCTAACTCCTGAGAGCCTTCAGAACTTCCCACTTGATGGTGGGAGAGCAAAGAAAATGGGGCCTCCATCAAAAAAAAAATTATGAACATAAACTACTTGTGACATCATTATTTAAAGGGCTAATTCTGGATGCAATGGATAATTTAAAAAAAATATTTTCTAGGTTGTTAAGTTGCTCAATATTCACAAATTAACAGGGAAGACTCACAAGAGGGTTTTGACTTTGCTGTATTACCTGGAAAGGAGATTTCAGCTCAGCAGGTGCTCTTGTGAACAAAAACTGAATAATGATGCTGAACGGAATGATGTCCCCCAGTGCAGGACTATTAGCTACATGTTCACTTGTCTGGAAGAGCAATGGTCTAGAAGACGAAAAGCCACAAGTTAATTCATGCCATTCCACATCAAAACAGGTAATGCGGTAGAAGAATCATTATACTTAAATATCAATATTCTTCCTAAACTGGCTATTGAAGGATGATTATCCAATTTTGTAATGCCCCATTCAACCCTAAGACCCACCACACATACACATGTACACACTCTAGGGTGGCTGATACATCTTTCAAATCTTTCCTTCCTTGATTCTTGATTCCTTGATTAATGGATCTGAAGTAACTTCCAGTTGACTCAGCAAAATCCCCTCCTAAAGTTCATTTAATTAATAGGCTGAAATCAAGTAAAGCACCAAGTCAAGTCTTTAAATTATAACATTATTTTTTAAATTTATATATGACCACAGAATGCATTACAATTCTTATTACACATATAGAGCACAATTTTTCATATCTCTGGATGTATACAAAGTATATTCACCCAATTTGTGATAACAAACATATTCTCACCTTGGACAACCCTTTCAGCTTTCATTTCCCGTAGAATACTTCTTTGGACTATAATCCATTAAGTATACAAGTTTATTTCTACACATCTCAAAATGGTAACTATGTTTTGCATATACCAAGTTATTACCTTGCCAACCAACTGCAGCTCTTTTCTCATACACTATAGCTCTGGGTCTCACCATTATGATTTTATAGAAGTGTGCAGCTGATCCACTGCAGTGATGCATATTACAGCCACACAGCACTGAGGAGGGAGGATCACTTGAGCCCACCAGTTTGAGACCAGCCTGGGCAAAATAGTGATCTCCTGTCTCAAAGTATGAAAAATAAAATAACAGAAAAAGGCTATAAAGAATTATTTGAAACTGTTATTGTTCCCTCCCTGGCTTTGAGCTCTCTTGGACAAGAGYTAATGACTACAAGCTGAGCTTTGGAAGCTCAAAGTTGCTGGCAGCAATATATCTTGACATTTCTTCCTTTTTTTACACTAATAAGGTTTATGTCAGGAGTGCTCTCAACAGTTACTTCTTATTGGATCCAGAATATTATTAGGAAAAAATGTCTTTATGTTAACTATTCTGTAAATACAATCTATCTCTGATAAGGATTTTTTCTAATTTCAACTGCTTTATCAAGTAACATCGTTTCATCATTTATTCTCTTTAGTTACCAAGAAAATATTTCAGTTCACTTATACTGGCTCTCACCAGAAAGCCAGAATGATCCAAGTTCTATGGGAATGTGATCAAGGTCTTCCTGTGGTCACATCTGTCAAATCATTTCAGTGTTCCATGATGTGGAGCTTTGGGTCATCATCAAGCACCTAATTAGGTATGAAAATGTTACTGAGGGATTTCCGGTTTCAACTGCAGGCATCCCTTTAAGTCTTTCTCTGTGTGGATGACACTGTCTTCATGTAGGGGAAAGATTCCATCATCATCATCAGTATCAGCAGCAGCAGAAATAGCTAACACACTTAGGTAGCACTTACAACATGTCAAACACAGATTAAAAGCTGTGTAGAGGGTTATACAGAAAGCAAGATAGCAGAATAGGTCCCAGGCTTCACTATGTTCCTCTCACAAAGTCCACCTAGCAATTATCCTCAGAAGAGAACACTTTTGTGAAAACACCCAAACTCAGGAATAAGACTGATATACCCATGTGGATTACAGAATCATATATAAACTATGCTAGAAAGTTAAGAGGTACAGTTCAACTTTGAATGCCTCACTCCTCCCTGCCCTGGCACAGCAAAATAGAAGATTCCCTGGCCCACAGTTTCTGGGTTGGAAAATACCCAGAAGTAGACATCCAGCTTCCCCAGAATTCTGAGATGCTTTGCAAAAGCCTACTTCAATCTTGCCTCATAGGGAACAATGGGACAGGATTCCCTGGTGTCAAGTAGAAACAAAGAATGGTAGGGGAGGGCACACAGCAACCAGCATGCAGATCTGGAGCAGAAGTGGTGCCGGATGAGTGAAACCACTCCATGACAGTTTACTTACAAAGCTGAGCAAATTGCTCCTAGAATCCCACTGAAAAGTTCAAGCTGGCTCGAGTACGTAGGAGCTGGAGTGGGACTGCCCAGCTTCGGAACTCACCTCAAGACCCCACCTAGGCAAAGAGTGCATATCTATGCAGTACAGGGGCTAGACTTGTCTGAACTGGCTCCACCCAACCTCAGAGTCCACTCATTTAGGGCAATGATTCTGCTTAAACTCAGATCTCTGCCCTACTCAAGTGCGCACAATTCAAATAACAATACTGTCTAACCAGGAAATATACCCTCTGCCAGATCAGAGGTGATTGCAGTACCCAGCCAATGGTTCTTCCTAACCGCAGGGCCAAGCCATTAGTACTGCCAGACAACAGAGCCCAGCAGCAACTCTGCTTGTTCTCAGGGTCAGTATCAGCTGGCCCGTCCAGAATAACAGGCTGTACTAAATAGTAAAGTTCTACCTATGCCAAAAGAATAGCTATGAAAGCCAGAAGAGGTGGCTGTCTCTTCATGTAGATATCAGTTCAAGGATACAAGGGTTACTAAAAATCAGGGAATCATGATACAACCAAAAGAAACTAAGAAAGCTCTAATAAGAGATCCTAAAGAAATGGAAATAACTGACAAAGCATTCAGAACAATCTCGTTGAGGAAGTTCAGCAAACTCTAATAATATATACATGAAAAATTAAATGAAATTTGGAAAACAATACATATACAAGATAAAATTTTGACAAAGAAAAATAATAAAAAATTTTAAAACTAGATATGAAAAATACAATGACTAAGCTGAAAAATCCGACAGCTTCAATAGCAGGTATAATCAAGCATAAAATCAGAGCTTAAAGACAGAATATTTTAATTCCAGTTGGAGGAGCAAAAAGCAATAAGAAAGAAAAAGGATAAATAAAATTTTAGAGGTATTATAGGACACTATCCAGAGAACTAAGATCTGCATAATTCAATAAAAAAAGAAAGAAGAAGAAGAAGAGGGAGGGGGAGGGGGAGGGGGAGGAGGAGGAAGGTAGTCAGAAATAATAAAGAAACAACAGTGCCAAATTTCCCAAATCTGGGAAAATATGTCAACATCTAGGTACAGAAAGCAAACAGATCTGCAATTAAATTCAACCCAAAGAAGAGTTTACAAAACCACATAACAAACTATTTAAAGACAAAATTTCTAGGGACTGGGGATGTGGCTCCTCGGTAGAGTGCTTGCCTAGTGAGCATGATCCCTGAATTCAATTCGGAGGGTGTGGGGGGTTTCTAGAAGCAACAAGAGATAAGAAACATCACACACAAGAGGATCCCACCAGGACTATTAACATTTAACTTTCTCTTAAGAGCTGATATATATCTTCCTTTTTGATACTGACAGCTCAATTTGTTTCTTTTTTATCTTTGGCTTTAGGAATTTTAAAGCCAAATTTGACACTTATGTTTCAATGAAGTTAGTTTTATGGTTTTAATATTCATGTTTTTCTTTCCTTTCTTCCAGTATTTTCTTAATATAAACTGCAAATGGAAAGAAAGGCAAGTAAGGAAAGAAGGGCAAAAAGGGAAACAGGACAAAAGACAGGAAGAGAGAAACAAGCTGGACACATATGCATGGAACATGCCCTGTCTAGGAGCCTGGCACATACAGAAGCTGTCTCATAAAAACATCTGCATAAGCCTAGGCTGGTAAAATTCAGCTCATTTTAAAATGGGACCTTATGCTCAATCATCAGTCCCTTTGGAGTTCTGAGGCAGAAGCTATTTAGACAATACTAAATCTTTCCCACTGGTCACCCTAACAGAATCATGAAAGCAAAAGAATCATGAAAGCAAAACAGAACTTGATTCTGAATTATATACTGCTGATATAATTACTAGTAAACATCTAATGTAGACATTTTATTCCTGGTGTTGGTTTTAAGAGGCTGAAAGAATACAACTCGCACCCACCCTTCTCCCTGATTCCAGATAGGATTTTAAAACCAGCAAGTTAAAAAATAAATCATCATTTGAAGTGCTTTATGAAGTAAAAGAAAATTACGGCAATCTAAAAAGCAGTTATCCCAAATGCCACAATATCATTCTTAGAAAATAATATTCTAATTATAGCATCACTATCAAGGTTAAATTTTATAGTCAGAAAGTAGTATTAATTAAGTAGAGTATTAGGTCCCTTAGAAAAACTGTATTTCTGTCAGGAAAATTCACATTTAAGTGACTGACAACTGTGTAGTCATCAGTTTTCTGACAGTTGGTTAAGGTCAATCATAAAGTGAAGTAAGACAAAAGTCCTGCTACTCCTACATCTACAACACCCAACATCATTGGTGGCCCCTTTCATACTACCTGCCATGCCTTCATAACTTCTTGGTGAGGGGCCCAATAAAGCAATAAAACCACTGAACATGTGCATTGAGCTCTATAAATAGTATAGAAGTGGAAAGGTAGGGGAAGGAAACATGATTCCACTTGGGGGACAGTTGGCCATCTTCCCTCCACAGAACACAAACTTTAGGGAGACCTGGTTTGGGACTTGAGGGGCTTTGTGGACCCTAGGAGAGAATGATATACACTAATGCTTTGGGGTAAACAAGGACTTGATGCAGAGAGGTGAGAATGGTTCCTTTTTTGGAGTCTCGTTCTCTATCCCAGCAGACCAGAAAGAAAGGTTTTTAGACAGATGCTCTCTAGCAATAAAAAACACACTTGACTGAACGTTCCTGTGCACTGTCCTGGAGTTTGCACATAGTAGTGAAGAGTGAGATGAGGCATCTCAGCAGCAGGAATTGCCATAGATTCTCTTAAAATTTTTTCCACATTTTCCTAGTTGATTATAAATTTTCAAATGTTGTTCCATGACAAATGCAAGTGAAAACAAATGGGAATTTCTGGAATAAAATGTAAGATCACAAACACAGGTTTTGAAATCAGGCAGTTTTAAGCCTGAAATGGGACTTTGGGATTCTCCTGCTTTTTGGCTATGCAGTGCTGGCTACTTCCCTGTCTTAAGTTTCAACTG